AAGTTGATAAAATATATATTAAACTATATTTTTTATATAATAATTATATTATTAATATTAATATTTTATTTTTTATTGAAAAATTAATACTTTTTTTTTATGTTTGCAGGCAAATTTGCCTGCTTTACAGTTTAAGGGATAGAGTTTGAAATGTTCCAAATAATGACAATGTGCAATTTTTCTGATGACATATCATTTATTCCATCACAATACTCGAGTTTTAAACTTCTCAGATTTGGGCATAAATCTATAAAGGTATAAATAGTAGTATCAGTAAGTCTACTAGAAGAACAAATATTTATAGATTGAAGGTTAGGATAGGATCATGCAATATCATGTACAATGCTATCAATGATATGATTCTGATACCCACTAATTTCTAGATGTTTTAACCTATTGCATGATCATATTATTTCACAGAATGATTTACCAGTAATATCTTCGCCAAAACCAATATCTAAAAACTGCAATTAATCACATTTCTTTGTGATTTTAGTGATAGAATGATCGGTTAAACCCCTATTGTTAGAAACGTTAAGATGGATCAGATTGGGATATACTTGAGAAATCTTGATTAAGGCTATATCATCAAAACCCGTACTTCGCTCAAAATCTAATTGAATTATGTTTGAGAATACTTTGACTATTTTTTTGATTATCTCATTTGAAAGATAAGAATGGTGTGTAATTATGAGGCATTGCACACTATGTCTAAAAATCAGTCTAGAGTTTATAAGTATCATTTTTATAAACTTTTCCTGTTGTTTCTCACCAATCAATTCAATATGACCCCATAAAATTGGACTAGTGCATCTAGACCAAAGTCTAGAGACTAACAAAGTTGGATATAATGCGTTATCTTTAACTAAAAAATTAAAACATTCTTTAGTAATTCAGGAAGAGCTAGTGCCATATTTTTTATCAAGGTATACTTATTTCAATAATTTCTTATTATGCGTTTCTGAAACTTGGTTATTACATCAAGTCTAACATTTTTGAATCTGAGCTGGAGATTATCAGCTCAGAAGATTTTTCATTTGAATATGAAGTATATAATATATACTATTTATGACGCAATCAAGTCTTATTTATTTGCCAGAACTATTAGAATGGATTTTATATTTCTTAGCAATAAATAAGTCACTATATCTCGCTCTATATATTTTCTGATTGTGATACAGATGCAGTATTCCTATTTTATGGAAACACATTGAGCTAAATTGGAAAAATAAATGTCACTCTCTATTGAAAAAAATTATGAAAATAGTATGAAAAAGACAAAAGTCAGTTTATAGCTCAAATCTAACTCATCTAAAAATTTCAAATTACTATCCACTTTCAGATAAAAAATTTAATGGTATTGCGCGTTTATTCCCAATATAGTCTATTTAGATTTAAATTTTAGCACAAGATTTAGCGATAAAACACTAAATCAAGTAGCAGAGGCATACCCCAATCTGAAGTATCTTAATTTGCAAAAGAGTAGGTACGAATGCTCTAATGGTAGAAAAGTGACTGACAAAGGTCTATGTGTAATTGTACAGTCATATCATAAACTAAAATATCTAAATATTTTTTATTACACAGAGATTATTGGGATATCGATTTGTGATATTATCCATTCTTACCTAAGGCTTCAACATTGTGAATTTAGTTATTACGAATTTACTAATGAGATTATCAAAGAAATTGCTAGTTTGTATCTTAATTTAAAGTATCTTAAATTGGAAGGGTATGATATTAGCAAAGAAGCCATAGGTCAGCTCGTTTCACTTAATCCAAATTTTCATGTTGAGAATTTTATGTGTACTATAACACCACCCTCTTTTTGTGAATATCATGGGATGTATGTACTGTCAAGAAGACTGAGAATGTTAGTTAATGCATCAAGAGATATTAAGTCCATACATAATTATATTAACAATGAATTAATGAGGAATGAATATTGTTAGAATAAGCATCAGAGTTCTGCAAATGATCTGACATAAAGGGATTTTTTTTTGATCCTTTACGTACATATGACAAAAAATGTAAATTAGCTAATCTATTCTAGGTACTAATTAGTACTAGCTGATTTTTTGATGAATATTTCATACAATTGTTAAGAAGAGACCTTCAGAAATAACGGTAGTCCCTCTCCAAATATATTATCCTGATAAATGCCAATCCTATTAGATGATAATTTTACGATCCTAATTAAAAAAGTAAAATATGAACCCAATATAGAATAATAATTATTCAGAGTAGTAAACTACAAGTAGGGGTTTCTCTAAGACCATTAGGCTTAGCTAATTTATTTTTTTCGATTAAAGATATAGCATATATTATTTATAGTGCAATCAATCATCTTTTATTTACCAGAACTATTAGAACAGATTTTACATTTTTTAGCAATAGGTAAATCTCTCTATCCCGCTCTATATGTTTCCTGATTATAGTATAGATGCAATATACCTATTTTATGAAAGCATATTAAATTAAGAGGAAAAGACTTATATCTTAGACAATCTCTTCCAAATTATTATAATTACTGTGCAAAAGATCACCCTCAATTAAATAAATTTATAAGGATAAAACGTGCAAAGGATCTCTCTTAATTAAAAAAATTCATAAAGCTAGTATATAGAAAGCAAATGCTAGTTTATTATTCAAATATAACTCATCTCGAAATATCATACTACCATTCACTTTTAGATAAAAAAATCATAAGTATTGTACATTCATGCCCAAATATAACCCACTTGAGTTTTATAAATAGCATAAGATTTAGTAATAGAGCATTAAAACTAATAGCAGTTTTATATCTAAATCTAAAGTATCTTAATCTATGTGATGATCGGTCAGGTGGTTTTAGAAGCTTTTGTACTCAAGAAATATATGATCTAGATCTATGAAAAATCGCACAGTCATGCCATAAATTAGAATATCTAAACATTTCATACCATACTGAGTTTCTTAAATCATTGATTTGTAATATTATTCGTTCCTGTCCAAAACTTCAGCATCTTAGTCTTAGATTTATCAAATTACTGATATAACTATCAAAGAAATTGCTAGTTTGTGTCTTAATTTAAAATATCTCAATTTGGAAGGGTGTAGTAATATTAGCAAAGAAGTCATAGATCAGCTCATTTCTCTTGATCTAAATATCTATATCGAGAATTTTATATTGATTTGAGTATCTCCTCTAAATAATAGAATCTTAGATGTGATCTATGAACTCGTAAGACATCTGAGAATACTACATGATGCATCAAGAGATGTTGCATCCTTAGATAATTATATTAATGATGAATTATTAAGAAGATTGAATGAACACTGTATTCTAGCTAGACCATCACTTTGAAGTAGTGCTCAGTTATTATATCAACCCAGAGCCCTTTAGGACTAGATCATGTGAAGCATTTTAGATTGGAAGATTTTTTGCTGAGCCACAATGCATGTACTCATGTGTGACAAAAACAAGCAATAATTAACCTATTTTTCCGATTAAAAATATTTAATCAATCTACTAGCAAAATGTCAGATAATGAGACAAATGAAGGTTACAATAAATTTATCAAAAATATGAATTGAGATATGAATGGGGTAATGAAGGGAATCCCGATAAGTGGAGATACTAGGATGACCTTTTTTGCATAATCAAAACCTACTGAAGGACAAAGGCAGTTAGGTATTGGAAAGAGAAAACACTTAAGCAATTTGTATATAGTCTGCCCAATGTAAGAAATCCATTATCATTATTTCATATATTTATATATTCTGATGATTTCTATCTTCTACATATTTTGAGTCTGATAGAATTGCCATATTATCTGCATAAACTTCGATGGGAAATATGGCCGAAAGGTATTGAGAAACCCTGATGTAAATTGCTTATTCAAGGTGAAGAATCAATAGTGGATTACTATTTAAAGGTGAAAAAATGTAATGATATCATCAAACTCTATAAAGATTATTTTAGAAGTGAATTCTATAGTAGATTAACATGAGAAAATATGAGATGTATTGCAAAAAATGATTATTATTGTGAATTGGTAGAAATGCTTATTCAGGCAAAAAAAGAATTAGTGACTGGTATTATAACTGGATTTAAAGATTATATTAGTCAGTCCGGTATTGCTAATCTGAATGGAATACAATACTTATTGAGAGGTATACATTAGATAACTAACTTGAACAAAAGTAGTCTGAAGCAGTGATCACTGCTTAGAAGAATTTGCTGAGCCTCAATATATGTACTCAAAAATAGATGATCACAGACAGAGTTTATATAACATTAATCTTATATATACATTCGAAAAGAAAACATATTAACCTTTATTCTTTATTTTTCCCAAACAAACAAATATGAGAAAAATATAAAAGAGCATCTAGTTGCAACACAGGACCTACTGTAAAAGTAAATATTAACGTCAAAAGCATATATTATGAAAGGTTGAGAGACTCGCAATTTTGAGATCTACACAGTTACCCAACTTTGATCTTGCATAAAAATCACTATACTAAAAGGGGATATAATTTTTCTTATATCATTAACTGCAGTAATTAATGGATAGTTTTGATGGTTATTGACCGAATGAGATTAGAAAAATTGAATTTGTCAGCTTATAAATACTTGTGTGAAAATATAGGCCTCCTATGTATGAAGAAATGGGCGAAATTATTACTCTCAATGGTATCATTAAGAAATTAAGTTCTAAAAGTTATTTTGAAGTTCTTATTGATAAAAAGGAAAGTGTTTTTGCGCTTAAGAAGACAATTTATGTCAAAGTTAAAGATTCTCTTCTGAACAATATTACTGGTGATATTAGCATTAAACTGTGAAAAGTAAATGTCTCTTGTAATGATTTCAAATTTGATCAACTTAGATATGCCAATATGACTGTTGAAAATGTGTTAAGAGGCTCTAAAATTAGTTCATTAAACTTGGTTAAAGATGTTTTTGATGATATAAATTCATCTGAAATTCATATTGTTATACAAGATAGGCGTCTTGTATATGTGCAAAACTAATGTAAAATTATTATCCATTAGCCTTGTTAGTATCACTAATAACTATTTATCCAATTTAGACATACTAAATAAGTGTATTCTATGTCACCAAACATTTGAGAAAGATGATAAACTTTTAATGCATACTATACTTTAGCAACATAAAACTAATATTAAAATGTCATCTGCAGATTCTATTAAGAAATCCAGAAAGAAAGAAAAACTTGACTATTATGATGAGACGGGGTCTAAGAAAAAGCTTATTTATAAATCAAGTTAGGAATATAATAAGAAAAAGGGTGATAATATACTTTGTAATCCCAGTAAATATCCTGATCCAGATGATTAGTTATAATCTTTTTTATTATTTGTATTTACATCATGTAGCATCAACTTTTCGCAAATTCTATTAATTTATAAGTATTGCTTTTGGCAAACATTTATTTTATTAAGTGTTAAATAAAGTATTGATATATTGGGAATGAGATGAGTTCGGCATTTATTTTTTGCATAATATGTTGAATATATAGAAATTGGCTATATAAAATCGATTGTATAGTCTTAGGGTTTTACTAAATTCTAGTGAACGTCATATATACGACAGAATTTTATCTTCAGAGTAGTGATCACTAGCTCAGAAAAAATTTGCTAGGCCACAAATTGTGTGGCAAAATAAATGATCACACAGACAGGTCTGATGCTACATATTAATTTTGCATATATAGTAAAACATATTAACCTTTATTCTTTATTTTTTTTTCCCAAACAAATATGAGAAAATGTGAAAGAGCATCTAGTCGCAATACAGGGCCTACTATATAAGCAAATAATACTGAAAAAATATATGTTGTAAAAGGCTTGAGGATTTGCAATTCTAAAATCGTTAAGCATAAAACTAACTACCTTTGTGTCTCTCCAGTAGATCTACATGTGAAAAGGTATGAGAATTCCATTTGCATATGCTTTTATAGAACTCTTGGCATTAGATGACAATACTAATTATGCCTTATACCTCCTTAACTTTTTTCCAACAAGATATAAAGCATATAGGAGTATGTGGAAGTTCGGCTAACTTTTTGCAAAAACATTCTCAGAAAAAATAATGTAAAATAAGGTATGTATATGCCAGAAGTTATATGTATAAGAGCGAGTGTTTTCTCACTATGAGGTTTGCTTTAGTAAATAAAACAAATATCTACTAGTGCAGATAATGATCTTGAGTCTTAACTTCTGCTATTATAATATCAGAAATAAAAATATACTTTTCGCGATTGAGATTTTCAAGGATAAAAAAGTCTTTGATCTTGAAGAAGAAGTAAGAAAGAAGCTGAATCAATTAACTGTAATGACTTCTTCCGCCAAATTTATCCTAAGAAGAGTTTATGTGAACAGAAGATAGGATTTTCTCCTATTTTAATGAGACGCCTGATGATAAAAACTGTATCTATATCCTAATTCTTCCCTAACGATTAGTTATCTATATTCATTATCATGCTATGTATTAGTTTTATATATTGTAGGCCGGCTACCGGTAACATTTTTTATTTCATTAATAAAGTATTATTATTTTATCAGTACATAGAAATGAATCACGTGTAATAATGCAATGCCTATGCAATATAAAAACTTATATTAACGCCCAGTAATTTCTTTTCTGAACAGAAATAAATTTTATCTCACTTCAGAACGTAATACTATTTTTTGTTTAAGCCAGTAATACTATAAAAGCGCTGTCTACCTCAACAGCTGAATACAACTCTTACTTAGTTTAAAACTGAGATACAGAGACCTTTATCGATTTTTTGAAAGAGCAGAACCTCAAGCTCAATGATAAAAAACACTATAACGTTCTCTGCAACAGAAAAATCGATGAACAGGTTTTTATCGATATGAGCAAAGAAAATTTTATGCAAGTAGGATTGGAAATAGGACTGGCTATGAAACTTGCAAAAGAGGCTAAGATCCTCAAAGAAAAACTGAAGCGCCTGTTCTCCTCGTACAAAAGTTTGAGAGAGGTGTTGGTGAAATATGACATCAGTAGCAATGGTATAGGCACTATTCATCAGTTTTTACCCGTAAGTTTTCTCATAAGCTAAGTTTACTGAAAGAAAAGTTAAATTTTTTTCTTGATAAAATTCATATATCCTTTAAACAAATATGAGATGCTTACACTTCTTAATATTTTAGGCAACCTACAAATTCAAAAATAACGACAAAAAATTGGTATAATATATAAAGAAAATAAAGCACAGGCTGAAAAATATGGAGACTATGCTTGCCAATAGCAATGAAGCCATGTATTGTGAATATATTTCAGCCATCCTTCATGTTTCGCTATATATCGTTAAAAGAATAACCAAAAAAGAGCTTACTTTAACACCTCAGCTTGAAGTTGTCAATAAAGAAAGTACTGAATGAGTTGATTACATAATTAAAGCCCTCGCATCACAGAAGGGAAGCTACATCAAGTGGTTATGGGTTTCGCTCAGAATTTAGTTCAATGTGAAAGTGCCCTACAGGTGAATAAAAATATGAGAAAACGAAAGTCAGATAAAGCATTTGGGGATGACTATGACTATATCTATGGAATTATCATAACAGCCACAGAATGGTATTTTATTCTTTTTGCCTCAGATTGAATATTCTGTATAAGTAAAATCCTCTTAATATCTGTTTTACTGAATCTGTCTTGAAAGAGAATTTGGAAGAAGAGAAGGAGTAGAGGTTGGAACCGGTTTTGATTTTACAAACCAGTTTTATTTGCATCCCAAAAATCAAAACCATATATAAACTGGTTTAAACTAATAAACTGATAAACTGGTAAGAACTGATAACCGATAAACTGATAAACTGATTAGAACTGATAATTAATAAACTAATAAAATAAAATCTGGGATTAAATAAATTTTTGAGCCCACCGGTCTGCTGAATTTTTGTTGAAAGTTGCATACTAGAACAGTGAATCTGACGGATGGGTCTCATGAAAACGGATGTAAAAATGCTTACTTTATTAATATTAAATATTAATTAAACTTTTTTAAATCTGCATTAATTGTATTATTATTATTAATTCAATAAAAGCATTGTTATTAGCATTAGTTGTTCAATTATTATTAAAAGTATTAAGTAAACTATTGATTATTAAAATAAAATTATTAACTTTCTTGTGATAGAAACATTTCGAAATGAGTGCTGTTACGTTTTAAAAATAAAATTTTGTTTACTAAGTTAGGTGCTAAATGAGTTCTTTTCGCAGAAATATGATTACTGGCATCAGAAAACAATCGTTCGCTTGGCATTGAAGTTGCTGGGATCAAAAGATATTTTCTTGCAAGCTGTAGTAAAGTAGGAAAACTATCTCTATGATTTACCTACCAAATTAATAGGTCTTCTTTAACCTTAATATTCCCTAATTTTGCATAGCGTAATACTTTATCATCATCATCTGTGTTTGTTTGTGTGTCATCACCTTCAAGTTTGCGAAAAAGTCACCATCATCATTATCATCATCTTGATTCCTATCTTCAATATCATCTGAAATATGAAGATTTACTTTCAATGCATCATATAAAGTTTTTACTAATTGATATGCCTTATCTCGTTTACCATTAGCTGCTCAATTGAAATGTTTAAATCTTGGATCAAGAAACGTGGCAATTAAGACATTATCAGACAGAACAGACCATAATTCATCTAATGAAAGATAAATTGTAGCTCGAACCCTTTCAAGCAACCCAGTAGTATCAACTGGTGGTATATATTCCACCTTATCTGTATCTTCTGCAATGCTTTCAATTTGTGTTCGTTTCTTAGTTGGTCTCTGTTTAGTTCGTCTCTTTTCTCGGCCACGGATACTCATCCTTTAATTAAACTGTTGATGAGCATGTTATCATTGTTAATAAGTACCAGCAGTAGGTATATCATCATCGGATATTTCATCATCATTCTTTTCATAGCCTTCTCCATAGATGAGATTCAGATAAGAATCGACTGTCTCATTTTTGTCTAATCTCAGAGCAAACTTTTTTTTAAGAGATTCCATATATGGGTGAACAAGATTAAGCATTGGATAGTTTGTGCCACACAAATGTCAGGTTACAATTTCGATCAGCTTCAGTAACTTTACAACTTCTTGTAAAAATCTATTAATGTAAATAAAAAAAAATTAATAAAAATTAGAAAATATAAACAAGTAAAAGTTAAAGAAAAATAATTACTCTTTTTCTGCAACTGATAAGCAAAGGCATTTTAACTTTTCATTCTCTTTTTGGGAAATGCGATCTGATTCAGAAAGTAAAGAAGTTGAAACATATCTTATAAAATTATGCAACTCTAAAACATGTTTTCAAGCCAGATAGGTGGAATTCCACCTGGTTCTTACGTCTGTTAAAAGATTAAGAGAACTTTGAACAGTATTTTCTTTAGACTGATCAGATTCACCTTGCATCTTACGCAAACGTTAGGCTTGCTTAAGAAGTTGAAAAAAAGCCTGCAAGCTTTTGATACAGCGATGTACAGCTTTACATTGCTTCAATCCTTCTTGGACTGATAATTGTAATGTATGCGCTGCACACGGTTGACGTTCTATGCTGCTAATATAATTATTATTTAACAATCATATTCCCTTGACCATGTTAGCACCATTGTCTGTGGCAATAGTAAAAACTGTTGTTTCAAGACGTCATTCGCAAATTATTCGAAATAACTCTTTGCTAATTACTTCTCCAGTGTGTAAATATAGAAGATGTTTGCATGAAAGAAGAGCTTCTCGAAACTTAAAATCGGAGAAAAGCCAGGTTACTATTACGCTTAAGTAACTATGACGGGATTTCGCAGTCCATAAATTAGTAGTCAAATGGATGCTCATTACACTACTATAAAGTAAGGAGCTGAGTTGGTTATAACTCCAGTTATACGCTTCATATATTAATTCCTTAGCAGTTTTAATACATGGAATATGAAATCCTAGTTCACACACATAAACAAATTCACGAAAATATCGATTTTGTAAGATATAAAGGGGTAAGATAAATTGGATGATAAATTGGATTAATTTTCTTGCTAAAAACTCTTGTCTTTTGGCTGAACATGGTAGTGTCGCATTATTTGTATTATTGTAATAATCAATAACTTGAGTTTGATCGCATTTTGACTAATAAGAACATTACTAGCTAAGTTCTTAAAAAATACAATTACAAATAATCACTTATCAAATTCAATAATTTAATTTTACTTCATTATGTTTATCCAAGTATTGAATATAATTATTTCTGGTTATATTATGTCTTTTTCGTAAATGGTTTATAATACTTGTTATGTTTTCACCTTTACGAGTATATGCATAAGCTTTTTTATTAGTTCCTGTAAAATTTAGCTCACATATTTTACAATATGCTAATTCAGAGTTATCATCGTCAATTCGAAAAAAAAGGTATGACTTTGATTACTATGATTGGTTACTACATTAGATTTTCATTTTTTTCGTGTAGAATGCGTATTGTTAGGGTCATCATCAGTATCTGAAACTGAATATAAAGACGAAAAGAAGACATTTTTTTTTTAGATTATCTAGATTTAATATTTTCGATACTTCATAATACAAATTACAAAATTTGTCCAGGCAGATATATTCATAAAAAGCAAAACCTCCTTTTTAGTGTTTCCCCATTCTGACGTTCATGTACTTGCCGACTTAACTAATAAGTTTATGAGTTTTGCCACATTTGGTTACCAGATCAGCAGAATAAAAAACGATAAAACTGGTTATAATCAGATATCGATAACTGGTTTAAACTTTTAACTGGTTATAATAAAACTGGGAGATTGATTTTATAAAATATTTAACCAGTTATAATCTGAACCAATTAAAACCAGTTATAAATCTGATATCGATAACCAATTCCAACCTCTAAGAAGGAGTTGCGCAAGAATGTGAAGCAGGTAATGGAGGTTATTGTTGGTTTATTAAAGGATAGAGTGGACATAGAAAAGGAGCTGGCAACGAAAAGGCAACAGGTTAAAGAGTATTTTAAAAAAAAATAATCATGTATAATAGTCCACCATCACTAGTATAGAAACGTCATATATCACAGGCAAAGTCTTGAACCTTTATATTTATTTTTCGCATATAATAATAAAAAATTTTTCTTGGCAAATTTTGCTGATCTCAGGTCAGGAAAAATTACATGATTTTTTATCTATTACTATACTAACTCAAACTTTTAAATTATTCCATCTTATGTAAAAAATATTATCAAACATGCAATCTGAGATTGATTCGTTGAGAAAAATAAATTTGAAGCTCTCAGCTGAGATTACTGAACTTAAGAAGAAGAATGCTAAAGTTAAGGCTGAGAATGTGAAGTTAAAACATGTTTTGGAAGAACATGAAGTCAGATTCATGAGCCTAGAACAGAGAGATGAAGAAAAGGCCACCTTTATTGCTAAATTAGATAATGATATCAAGGAAATTAAACAATCTTCAACTAGTACTAGTTCTGTCAAGAACTCTGACATATGTGTTTAACCTATTCGCATAGAAACTAAGATGTTAGAAAACAAGGAGACAGATGCTTTTTTAAATGAGATACATAAGAAAAGCGTTGGCAACAAAATTAGGAAACGTAATAAAGAGAAGAAACTTTTATGAGAATCAGCTATTTAGGAAACACTCTTGATTTTTCAGAATACTATATTTAACTGCTACGAGCGAAAGAACGAGCAGGACTCTTTAGCTTGTAAAGACTTGATTAAAGAAATATCTACTAGTATCAGCTGTAATACATCTATTCAGAATCACCCAAGAGGTACTTCGCATAACTCCATATCTCAAGTGACTGAAATTTCACTGACTTCAGGTTAGGAAAATCGGATATCTTACAAAAAATAGCTAACTTATATGAAAAAGCTTGTGATGCAGAAGATGTATTAATAAAAGTTAACCAGGTAGAAATTTTATGCTGGAGTAATTTTATTATAGCATTTGATAATAGCATTGACAAAATCATAGCTAGAGATAGAATAAGCATAAAAAAAGCCAAAAGACTAATTTATGATTTCATACTTGCGCAGAATCATGACACTAAGTGTCCTGCTTTATATAAGAAAATCAAAAGAGCTAGAAAGATTTACAGGTTGACTGAAATAATAGGATTAAATAAGATCATATATATTAAATCATATAATGCAAACAGTATTTCAAAATTTACCAACAAAGAAATTTAAAAAGTCATGGATCACTTTACCAAAAATCCCAATATAGAATTTACTGATGATTCTGAGAACGTAGAATAAGATAACAAGGTTTTAGAGGGATCTGATCAAATTAATATATTGGAAGTCTCAACTCCAAAAGAATCAACTACACCTATTCCATTAGTCAATATTTCTAATTCTTCTGATAATTTTAAGGAAGAGGTATGGTTTGATGAAAATATGTTTTTCAATGAAACGAATTTCACTAAAGTGAACACCACCACTTCAGACAATGACGATGTGTATTTTGATGAGGCAAATGAAGAGGTCCCTTCAGGATCAGATAATACACACAATAGTAACTCCAATTCATGTAATGATGACTCTGATCCTGATAGTAATTCTGAAAATGAGATGTCAGACGAATCAGATGATGATAAATATAATAGATATAGTAGATATAATGAATACAATAAACGTGATAGAGATTATTATTATCATAGTAGAAGATACGAAAAAAAAATCTTCCCAATGATGAGTCCTATTATCTCTCTGATAACCACCTAGGAAAATTATCAAGCGAATCACATATTCGTAGTAACATTTTTTTTTAAATTACGTGAATGGCTTATATAAAAGAAACTTTATCATATGATCGATTACCTGCGCAATACGATATCTGCTGAGATTTTCTTTTTTTCTGAATATTATGCATAATAAAAAATATATGATTATTATAACTGCAGTATAATTTATACGCAGTTAAGGTTATTCGATATATTTCTGATTCAGCTAGTTTATTGATATTGTTAATTCTATATAATAGGTATATATAACATTATATTTACGCCTTTTTTAAATTTCAAAAATGCTTTCCAATAGGTACATTTGTAAAAAATAACCTGAATATGCTATAAAAAGGGAAGGGCTTATCAATTTCTGATGAACTAGCAATAAAAAATTATATGTTATTGGTGCATAAAAACTTTACAATTGCTGAGATCTACAGCTTACATATATAACATTATGCCAAAAGGAACATAATTTTTCTATATCATTAACTGCAGTGATTAACTGATTATTTAGCGTTTAAAAAGTTTGTTGTGGGAAAGGAAATTAAAAATTAAAATATAAATATGCAACTTTATTCATCATGAACAATAAATACAGAATCATGGCAGAAATCAAGTTAACTTGTCAGATCTTTAAAGATGTTGAAAAAAATTCTAAAGAATTCATTATTGTTATTCATATCACCGATTCTATTTATAATCTCAAAGGTAAAATTTATGAGGAAGTCAAAAAGTCAAATAATAATTTCCTCGAGATTGAGGCTGATGACTTAAAGTTGTGAAAGGTGAAAATCGATATCGATAATAACAGTAATGAAGAGTTTTCTAATCTTGTCTTGAATAACGATAAAACAAAAAATGCAACTGTGATCCAGCTTCAAGAAAAGGTTGAAGATTTTTGGGATAAAAAGCTACCAAAGAGAGGTTGTACTCATGTCATCATTAATTTGCCACTTTTGGTCAAGAGGTAACAGAATCGGGATAAGGATAAACAAATTCAGGCTCTATCTAGGCATTTGTAAAATGTGAACCTAGACAATCTGAGTGAGTAGTTGTTCTTAGAGCTTGAGATATTTTCTTTGGATACTGTTAACGTGCAATCCTTGCGAATTGCGACAGTTAGACAGGGTGTTCAGGCGGTGATTCTTTTAAGTTTATGTAGTGACTCAATTCAGTTTACTCAAGATTTAGAATCTACACGGTAGTGTATTTACGATAAGACTAAAAACAAAGCGACTCAATTGATTCAGAGGTATAATAATATGTTTATTGATAATAATAATAATAAAGATACGAGATAATAATAGAAAAATAAGAAAATAAGAAATAATACGAAAAGAAATCAAAGAGTTAAAGTACTAAGTAGAATGTTAGGCCAGGCGCCTCTACAAGAACTACTAGATGTGTATAAAAGCAAAACTAAAGGAAAACTAAAAGTGAACTAAAAAGTGAACTACCGTTTACATGATTCCATTGCTCTCTATTTATATTAAATTAATACATAGATGATATAACAAATAAATCAAATATATCTAATATGTCCGATATGTCTAAGATATCAATATTATCAAATATGTTCAGTATATCAAATATATCAAATATATCAAATATGTTTGATATATCTAACATTTAGATCTGCAATATACTGCGCCACGTTCATCAATCCAATCCTGTTACAGTGTCATAATAAAATGATAAATTTTCACGTGATAAGATCAACAGTTTTGATCTCTTGAATAACATATTTTTGAAAATTTGCAATGAAATATCTTAATTAGGGATGCTAATGGTCATAGTCATGACTGGTTATAACTGTGACCAATATCAGTCAGTCAAAGGCTTCTGACTGACTGGTTGACTGACTGATTCTAATCGATTTTAACCATCTGGTTGACCGACTGACTTGAGATTAAACAACCATATTTTAATAGTAAAACACTTTAAATCTGCAATAATGCTGTGTCATTAAATAAAAATGGCAAAGTAGTTTTAAAAAATGCCATGCTAGAATTGTTAAAGCAAGAATTAAAAGAATAAATATTTGGCCAAATTAAATCTTTTTATTAAGCCAAAACTGCTCAATTATATTACTATTAACCGGTCAGTCAACAGTCAGTTAAAATCAGTCAGTTAAACTGATCGGTCAGTCAAAGGCCTTAACTGACCGTTACCGTCTCTAATTTTAATATTGTACATTATTTGTCTATAATAAGGAAAAACCAATCAATTAATTGCTTGTAATCTTTTATACCTATAAATACATTAATGAATACATTACTAACAGGAAACTTATCCCGCCTATAAAGGAATTGTTTACAGAAATGGGGCTGAGCTTTCTTAACATCTTATTGAACAAATATGTAAACATTTTATAATTTTTTTCACGATCCCCTTACAGCTTTGATTCAGGTGCACCCCTGGCCCTCCATCGACTTCTAGAATAAAAAAAATTATTTTTGTCGCTTGACATGTAAGGTTTCCATCAGCATATTTTTTAAGTGGTTTTGCCTCGAGAGTTTGCCAAATTCTTTTTTCGTTCAGCTTCCAAAATCACTTCGATATACTAGCCAAAGCTGTTGAAAATCATATATTACTTCAATTATCAACAGTTTTTACGATTTTAACGACATTCAGGTCAACTAGTCCAAATCTGAATTACTCATTAATAACCAACAATCAGAAATTCCATGACTATAATCATCTATTGGCATTCTGTAATATCCTTTAAAACAGTTGTAATTTCAAACTGACGCCAGAGTACCCTGCCATATATTCATATTAATCGATATTCGGGTTCTTAATATAACTGTAATTTGCTATATCGTCTCTATATGAGAACTTCATCTCAATGGTAATTTTGAATTCTATGAAAGATTCTGATGCAGCATTAAACTCAGATTGTATTTTTCAGTATCTTTACTGAAAAAAAGATTCTGATAATGGAGTAAATGCTTTTCGAAGAACTTCTAATTCTTCTTGAGTGAACGTGAGATTGATAGCCTCAATAACTTTTGGTAAAAATAGTATAATTTTATTATTTATGTATCGACAGCTGAGTAAGTATAGTTAGTAAATGCCTCTTAAAGTTATTATTATATAGAGGATGGACAAAAGTATCTGCACACCTCCATAAACGTGAATTAATGCTAGTAAAGTCATATGATTACAATAATAAATTGCGTTTACATGACACTTAAGTGTTTACTTATATTATAAAAATAAAAGAATATCAAATTTGTTTTTTTTTAATAAATTTTTCTTCTCTGAAAATCTAAAAAAAATGGTAAAAACCAAAGAATTAACTGCAATGATTTTCAAGCGAAAAAAAATCTTTGTATATTATCTTGGCCAGCTTAAAGTCTGATCTTAATCCAATTGAGAATCTTTGAGCTGAAGTCAAGAAAGCATCTGAGCTTATAAAAAACCTCTATTTAATCTTGCTGATATTGACTGATATGTTAAAAAAGCATGATAAGAAATTCTGAAATATACTATTGAAAACCTAGTTGATAGTATGTTACAATGAATTCAAGCAGTGATTGCGGCAAATGATGGCCTAACTAAGTACTAGTTATTTAGTACAAAATGTAGATATTAATTAGCTTTAAATAAAAAATTAATTGACTTTTTATTGTTACTGCAAAAATGATTTAAGTTTTATATTGAGTGAAAAAGTGTGTGAATACTTTTGTCCATTCTCTGTACATTCTTATCATAACCAAGATGTCTAACATAAAATGAAAAAATTACAATAAAAACAATAAAATCTGCTTTAACTGCAAATGACCCAGATATTTTGTGAGGAACTGTAAAACACCTAGAGAAGTTAAATCTAAACCACTCGCAATTAGAAATAGCCAAAATATACAAATTTTTAAATGTATATGTAACTTTAAATACAAAGAAAGGAAACTAAAGAAAAAAGTGATATGGAGTAAAAAAGATGAGGCAAACAGTTCTTCAGTTACCAAAGAAAACCTCGTATCTAATCTTGAATCTTTCATCTTTTAAGATACATTGCCAAGCATTCATCAAGTATGCTAAGGTATACATTAATGCTGAATAGGAAGTTCTCTCCATTCTGGATACTTCAGTTATCAAAGACATACAATATGCAATTCTTTTCTTAATGAATAATATAAAGCTGAAATCTTATCAGATTAATTTAAATCAAAATACAATCTCTCACTTGCAGAGTCTCTAATAAAGTAAGTCAATTGTTCTCTTGTTTTTTCTTTTTACCTTTATTTTTATTTTTATATATTTCTAAAGAGGCTTTAGTTGCGGGCAGAATCATGGTAGAATTTTCAAATTTAATAGCAAATTACATCAAGAGTTTAATTACGATCCTTATTGGGTTATTAATGAAACCTTAAGGATTCTTTCAAAGGTTAAGAGAGTAGCATATGATAATGATGACCTTGAATAGTATGACCTTGAAGAGTGTAATAACTCTATGTAAGGTTTATACACCAAAAAGTATATATCTATTGATTCTAATAATGAAATAACATATTAAAGAGGCTATTATTTTAATAAATTAGTCGATGATAAATAAGTCTAACATGAATGTAATATAAATATAAAGTTATTAAAAGAAGTACAAATACTATATTTAACTTTCAATTGCTCATATATATACTCATAATTTGTTTAGAATAAATAAAAATTAATTGCAATTTTTATAATTTTTTACTAGTGTATTCCCATTGTCACTGTGGAATTCTTCAACTCGAGGTGGTCATGTTATCAAGTCTCTACTCAAAATTTCTTAATTATGGCTTACTGCGGTCAAGACGTTAGGATCCGCTTAACTCTTAACTTTACTAAATCTACGCGTTAAACTTAAATAAATCTATCAAGTATGAAAACTTGAAAGACGAGATTACGAATAATTTTAATTAAAGAATTCCGAATGATGAACTCAATTACAAATAATGTGTAAGGATCACGTCAGACTATATGAAGACACAAAGAGGCAGAAAGATATAAGTTTTAAATTGATTCCTTTATTAATATTGAAACTCGTATTCACAAAAGAGTTTGTAAA